AATAGCAATAATAAAACAATATATATAATATAATAATAATATAATAATAATAATAATAATAATAATAATAATAATAATAATAATAATAATAATGATAATGACAATAATAATAATAATGGTAAAAATAATAGTCATAATAACAATAGTGATTAAGATAATAATGATAATGATAATGACAATAATGATAATGATAATATTATTAAGGATAATGATGATGATAATAATGATAATAATAATAATAACAACAGTAATTGTGATACTAATATTACACGTAATGATTATAATGATAATAATAATCATGATAATAATATAGGAATAATAATAATAACAATAATGAAAATAATAATAATAATAATGATAATAATAATAATGAAAATAATAGTAACATATAATAGCAACAATGATAATGATAATACCAATATTAATAATGATGACGATATTGATAATTTTACTACCATTAATAACAATATCAATGATTATGATGATGATGATGATGATGATGATGCTGGTGATGATGACAACGATGACGACGATGGAGATGATGATGACGTCGATGATGATGATGATGACGACGATAATAACGCTTGTGATGACGACGACGACGATGATGATGAAGATAACAACGACGACGATGGCGATGATGATGTTAATCGTGATGGTGATGGTGATGATGACGACAACAACGGTGGCGATGCTGGTCACGATAATTATGGTGACCATGATAGTGATGATGATGATAAAGAGGAAGAGGAGAAAGGTAATAATAATGATACTACATCTACCATGCCCACTGCTCCTAATCCGAACATCAAAATACCTCCACTATCAATAATGACACCAAAATTAACGAGACTTACAATGAATATAAACCAACAGACATTCCCCAAATAATTATAAGATAATTATGCATATCACATAACAAAATTATTACAAAAAAAAAAGATATTACAAAAAGAATCTACAAAAAATTGCCTCTTTGAAGTCATCAGTGCAAGGCGACAGGCATCAACAAAGAATTAGTCCGTGGTGTTCACGGCGGTCATCAGCTGGAGCGAGGGGGCGAGAGAGGTATGGGGGAGAGAGAGAAAAAAGGGAATAGATAGAACTGCAATAGAGATAGAGAGAGGGAAGGAGAGATCGGTACTAGCAAAAGCAAGGGGCGAGAGAGGTATGGGGGAGAGAGAGAAAAAAGGGAATAGATAGAACTGCAATAGAGATAGAGAGAGGGAAGGAGAGAACGGTACTAGCAAAAGCAAGGGGCGAGAGAGGTATGGGGGAGAGAGAGAGAAAAGGGAATAGATAGAACTGCAATAGAGATAGAGAGAGGGAAGGAGAGAACGGTACTAGCAAAAGCAAGGGGTGAGAGAGGAATGGAGGAGAGAGAAAAGGGAATAGATAGAACTGCAATAGAGATAGGGAGAGGGAAGGAAAGAACGGTACTAGCAAAAACAACGGGCAAGAGAGGTATGGAGGAGAGAGAAAAGGGAATAAATAGAACAGCAATAGAGAAAGAGAGGGAATGATAGAAGGGGGCTAGTAAAAGCAAGGGGCGAGAGAGGTATGGGGGAGAGAGAGAGAAAAGGGAATAGATAGAACTGCAATAGAGATAGAGAGAGGGAATGAGAGAAGGGGACCAGTAAAAGCAAGGGACGAGAGAGGTATGAAGGAGAGAGAAAAGGGAATATATAGAACGGCAATAGAGATAGAGAGAGGGAATGAGAGAAGGGGACTAGTAAAAGCAAGGGATGAGAGAGAAAAGGGAAAAGATAGAACAGAAATAGAGATAGAGGGAATGGGAGAACGAAAGATGGAATGTAGAGGGAATGGGAGGACGGAGGACAAGAACCAACAAGAGACGAGAGAGGCATGAGGAAAAGAGAAACAAAGATAGATAGAACTTTGATGTAGAGTCAATGAAAGAACGAGAGACGAGAGACAGCGAGAGGTATGGGGAAGAGAAAAAAATAGACAGAACTGCGATAGAGATGGATCGAGAGAATGAGAACGGAAGACGAGAAGAAAAGAAAGAGGTATGAGGGAGAGAGAAAAAGAAATGGACTGAACTGCGATGTAGAGGGAATTAGAGAACGAAAGGCGAGAAACAGTAAGGGTTGAGAGAGGCATGAAGAAGAGAAAAGAAGAGAGAGGCAGAGCTACGATGTAGAGGGAACGGGAGACGAGAAACAAAATAATATGGAATAATGGAGGTAAAAAAGAGAGGGAGTGAAAGAAGCATGACGAAGAAAGAGAATGAGGTAGATGGAAACCAGAAGACGGAAATGAGGGAAGGACCGGTGAAGGAAAAGAAGGAAGGGGGAATGGTGTAGATAAAACAGCGAATGAGGTAGGAGATAGAGAAAGAAAGGAGATGCATGAAATTGCGAAGCGTAAAGGAAATGAGAAAATGGAAGAGAAGAGACAAAGAATGATGGAGATAAGACTACGGGGAAGCGAAAGACGGGATAGAAAGAAATGGGATTGGAGGGGGAATAGAAGAATT